TTCCTTTGGAAGAATGTAGTCTGCTTAATCACTCCTTTAGGACAGGATTTGCAGAACTTCTTTGTGATGAAATCAAGATTCAATGCTGTAAATCCCTGGTAGTATTGTGAAATCAAAGGGCAAATCACTGTTCTTTTTATTGAGAACGCTATTGACTTTCACTCATTACTTAATTATATCTAACTCATTAGTTGGCTAGGTAAATGGCAATACTAATCTTAGAAAAATGCCTTTTGATTACCATTCAGTCTTAAATTTTGAAAAATACCACTTGCAGCACTTTTCACAGGCTTTCTGACCAGGAACAAATACAGCAAAGGTCAAACATTTATACATGTACGTGCAGCGTATGCCTCACTGCAGCTAAATTGGGATAAAATACCAGTTTTAAATATAGAAAAGGATAAATATTTATATATCACAATAACCCTAAGGAAGTAACTACAAAAGAGAAGTTTAAAGCAAAGAAATTTTTACCTCAAATATATAGCAAGAAAAGTCTTCTGTGGGCAACCCTGCCAGCTAATTCCAACAAGTGGATGCAGCAAAACCCCTACGACTCTCCACCACACATGTCAGCATGTGGAGCAAACACATGCATGGGCACACATGTGCAGCCACACAGGCACACCCATGTGGTGACACACAGAGAGCTGTCCTAATTGTTCTCATTCTTTGGCTCTTTGCTACTACTCCACCTCCTCATGAAGGCTTCACAGAACACATGGCCCCGACTGAGCTCCCTGTCTCTCAAAGTCCACGGTGTTTCCCGTCTCTGCTATGTAGTTTGGAAGGTAATTGTTCTATATTATTTCAAGTGAGATTTATTGTCTCAGCTATGTCATAGCATATCCTCTGTTATATCCCCAGCAGCATCTAATAGAGCTGTGTACATGGTCAAGGCTTACTCCATATTTGTTGACCAATTAAACCAGTACTAGCAAGTCTGGATTGGGCTATTCGTCTAAAATAAAGACAAATTTGTACTCCTGCTCAGCCCCTCCAATAGTTCCAGCTTGCTCTCTCTCTCTCTCTCTCTCTCTCTGATTTTCAGTATTCACCTTAAAGAAACATTTTATTACATTAAAAAGTTTTTTAAAATACTATTATCATACTTAGAAAAATTAATAATTCCATATTTAAGCTTCTGTGTTTCAAACTCAGCCTAAATGTATAGCTTGCTTGTCTAAAATAGGATTTAACCCATAGTATTATGCCTCTTAAATCTATTTTAATTTATTTCCTGTCACTGACTTGTTGAAAGGACTAGATCAGTTTTCCCCAAGAGTGTCTCATGTTTTGGATGTGTCTGGTTGCTGGCTTCTGGTGTCATTCAACTTGTTCCTCTGTCTTCTGTATTTCCTGCAAATTGGAAGTTACAATTATAATTCCAGTTCCATGTAATTCATAACACAACATACATAAAAAATGATGATGCATAGTTTATGTTGTACTGTGCAAGGAGACAAACTACCTGGCTATCTAATCATTAATTTTAAGACTAATCCCTGGGGTAAGATGACAACAGCCTGATCTCCCCACCTGTCCAGGGATAAATTGAGTGGTGTAGCCTGTGTCCATAACACACATCTGTTATAAAGACTCTTACTTTGGTCCCTTCAAAGGGGGTCTTTAACCATCTGCATCAGGACACTGTAATTTCCAAAGAGTAATTTTTTATGTTGGGATAGACCTTTCTGGTTGTGTCATAATTCTTTCTTGGAAGCGCCTGCTATTATATATTAAAGTGAATTCACTTAATTAACAGCCATGGTGACTCATTTATGTTTAACCTAACATATATTCCTTCTTTGTATTAAGACTTTCTATTCAATATGTCAATAAAATAATAATGAAAATAAAAGTAGCATGGTTTCTTTGGTTCAAGGACAACCTCAGGTTTGGGAAAAGTAGCCGAGAGCAGCGACACGCCCACAGGTGCACATTGACTGTAACCCCTCCAGGCAGTCACGGCTGTTGGAGCAAGGCAGCCTGGCCTCCTCTCGAGTTAGACATGATCCCAGGTGCTCAAAGATGGCTCCAGCTTTGGGCAACAAGAGGACATCCAGGCAGACCGGAAGAATGCAGTATCCAAAGGGAAATCGCAGAAAGACGATGGTAAGTTGTGAAGATTAACTCAGGCAGCCTTCTCAACGGCCCTCTGAGACAGGCACTGCCCTCATCCCTGCTCTGGATGAAGGTCCTTTTCATCTGCAAAATTCTATCCTCGAAGGACCAAAGAGTGGGGAAGGGTCAGCCTTACGGTTTCTTTAGCAGAGTGGACGCTCCTGTACCCAGTCAGGGTGTGTGGCTGGCCTCTAACCTGCTAAGCATGTGCCTTCCCAGGCCTGTGCTACAAACTAATACCCTCAAGAGGGTTCTAACTTTTCACGGGGCAGCCTATGGGTGATTGGATAGGGCAAATCCTGCACTGGTCTGTCCCACACGTTACAGGATGTTTAACACCCCTACCTCCAGGCCCCACGTGACAAGTGCATCCCCAGTCACTGTGACAACCAAAACTGCCCTTTTAGGCTTTTCCAAACACCAACTAGTGACAGTTGCAGATGTGTGTGTGCCCATGTGTAAAAGGGGCACAGTCGCATCTCCAGCTCGGAATGGCTGGGACTGCTGGAGGGTTCAGATGATAGTCCCAGTGTCAAAATGGGGGACGTGTAAGGGGCCCTGCTGAGACGCTGGGCTCCTGTTCCTACTACCCTGCCCCTCACTGCATACAAGAGGCACATCCCAGGCCTTGGGAGAGGTCGGGGCTGGGTGGGGCATCCCAAGTATCCGCGCTCTAGGCCTTCAGAGGGTGCGTCCACGCTTCTTAGAGTCTCCACCCTCCTCTCATCTCGTCCGCCTCCCTCCACCCGACTTTGCCCTGATGAATATGATGGAATTTATTCAGCAGTGTTGGTGAGGGTGTGAAGAAAATGGAACCCTTGTGCATTGGGAGTGGGAATGGAAAATGGTACAGGCGCAGGGGAAAACAGTATGGCAGTTCCTTAAAAAATTAGAACCAAGCTATTCCACCTCTAGGTATAGACTCAAAAGAACTGAAAGCAGGGACTCAAAGAGAGAGTTGTACACCATATTCATAGCAGCATTATTCACAAATGCCAAGAGGTGGAAGCAACCCAACCCAAGTGTCCACTGAAAAATGAATGAATAAATAAAATACTCTATGGAGACACCATGGAATATCACTGAGCGTTAAAAAAGCAAAGAAATTCTGACATTCTATTACATGGATGAAACTTGAAGCCATTATGCTAAGTGAAACGTGCCAATTACAAAAAGAGAAATACTGTATGACCCAGTTACCTGAGATACCCAAAATAGTCAAACTAATAGAGACAAGGTAGAAAGGTGGAGGCCTGAGGAGTTGCTGTTGGAAGGGTGCAGTCTGAGATTTGTGCGATGAGAGTTCTGTGGATGAACGGTGGTGACGGTTGTGCAATAATGTGAGTGTGTTTAGCACTACTGACCTTTGCACTTAAAAATAGGTAAGATAGTAAGTTTATGCTATGTGTATTTTACCACTATTCAAACTTTTTGAAAGTAAAATTTAATGTTGAAATGGATTCATAGTAAAAAAACAGTGTATCAGGTAACAACCAACCCAATGTAAAGATAGAAAGATAAAATATAGGGAGTTCAATCACAAATATGTGAGGGAGTAAAACCACTTCAAAACAGAATAACTCAAATTCAAGATCTCTGCCTGGTGCGCCACACAGTGCCTTAGGCTCCAGTGCGACATAGACAGGGAAGAATTTACATGGGGTAACAGCCGTCATGGTAAATCAACATGACAGAGCTTATGCAATCTTAAAAATTATACTTCAAGACTGTGTAACATCAGGGAGAAACGTTGCTAATATGATGTTTCGGGAAATTAGAAAATACAAGATCGCAAGGTATAACTGAAGTGTAAAAAATTATATGTGCATATAGGCAAGGACTACAAGGGAAAAGGCAAAAATAAAAGTAGTTCCTTTGCTAGGGCTGATTTATTTATTTTTTTCTGCTTTAAATTACACCTTTAAATTGTTAGGATACTATTCATACAACAAATAAGAAGACAGTAAATTTGAGTAGAATAAAACAGAATTCCCTCTCAGAAAAGGAATTGCTCCAAAAGGTACAAAGCCATAATTTCTGAGAGAAGAAATCATTTTATTTTCAATCTCAGCTACAATAAACAAATGGAAACTGTTGACGAGAAAGGACAACGAAGGTTGTGTTGGGTTTGCCTGGCCACGCCGCACGATGTTCTCCTGCCTTGATCGTTCTAGTTACATTCCCTAGGTGACACGTGGTCCTGGAGATCTTTGTGTTAATGACTTTTCCTAAAAAGCAGCGATTGCTTGAGGACAACCCATTTTTGCTATCTTTGCGATGCCTAGCACAGTGCTGGGTAACCACACGTTTCTTGCCAGGTAAATGCTGATTAAATACAGCCAGCTGAGATCAACTCTGACTACCTGCTATTGTTTTTTGCTAATTAATGTATTAAATTCTGGTGTGTGAGCTACATCACAGACGTGCACAAGAAAGCTGACCTCCAAGAGTTCATGAGCATTGCAAACGTCAGCAAGGCCCATGTTCCAGACTTCCACATCTGGCATGTGTCATTCTACTGATCAGCAGCATAAACTGGAGGGACAACAGAATCCCCTTTAAGTGAGGCTTGCTGTTGATTACATGGTTCACTGTATTGTGGTTCATCACGTCCCTGGAAACTGAACGTGTCCAGACAAGAGAAGCCTGTGGGTGCTACCCCTCTGGGCTCCAGCATTGCAGCAAATTTCAAGTATTTCTCTGTGCTACAAAGGAGGGCATCCGGGCTCCCCAACTGCAATCAAGTCCTCTCTTTCCATCTAGCCATCAGCTTTGGTAGGTGGGAGACTTAGATAGGAAGATTTATATCCTTCCCCTTATGGTAGGGAACACAGAACAAATACAGCATCTGTAAATTTCAAAAGATAACATCCTTAAGATTTTCCTGTGTTCCCCAGTAGTGGCTGTAGAAATAGCCCTGCAGTTCCAAACACACAGACAATTATGAATATCCAAAGAAATACTCTGTCCACCACCATGGCCACATATTTCCAGTCATCTTCTACCTGAAAGCCAAACAAAAAGTCAAATCAATTTTTAAAAATCACAACTATGGGAAATGTGCTCTGTTTCATCAATAAGCTTCCTGTTCAAAGAAGATGTTCCCGGTGTTTTATAGACATAGTCAGATTTTCGGAGTAAGTACATGGAAGAGCTTTTGTTTTGTGTGAGGAGGGCAGATACAGGCGCCCCGTTAGAGCCTCATGCAGCCAGCTACAGAGTGTGCAGAAGACCCCAGTAAGCCAGGATTCTAGGGGTGGAGGGGCGGGTCACAAAAGGACCTTTCCTGACCACAAGAAGAACAGCCAAGAAATAGCTGCTCAAAAAGTGCAGTTCCTGTCATTGACACCAGTAGATACCTTACCACTTGGCAAGTCTAGGAAATAGGTTTGAGGCAGGGAGTGTAGGACATGCAGCATGACCAAAGGCTCCCTTATTGGGAACGGGCAGCCCTCTAGACCTCAAGGTTATGCTGGTTATGGAGATCATTGCATTTCTCAAGTCCTTGCTGTTTTTGACCTCCTAACTTTTGCCAAAGTCTCCTTGCTTGTCTTCAGAGCCCTACCTGGTTGTGATTAAGTCAACAGCAAGTCTCCCTTAGATTTTATGAACGTGTCACCTTGAAGAGGAATTCTGGGCTCACTTGTCCTGTGATGCACCACCCTCCCCGGCCCCCACCCCCCGAATGACATGCAGTCATTGTGACTTCCTCTGTACCAACATGGCAAATTTTAGGTCTTGAGATATCCTTCCACTAGGAGATACGATGCTGCTAACTGCAGTATGAGGTCAAAACCAGACACCTGGCATGAATTTTCAGATGCCCTCAGCTAGTCGTCCTTATGGATGAAAAGTTGGTTTGATTTTCTGGGGCTCTCTCTTTGGAGGATGGAGGAGGTTCATGCTGCTATGGTTAGACTCTGGGCAGCAGGAGCAGAATATGTTAATGCTAAAAATATCGCCAAGGCTCGTTCTGTCAGCACCTACAGCCCCTGAGGTAGACTACGCAGGATCAGAGACTCAGGGGACTCACTCCGCCTTCCTCCCACTGCCCTCAGATTGCAAGCTGCTCTGCAGTCATTTCTTCTCCCCCTCTGAGGTAGCTTTCCCATCTCCACCCCTCTGTCTGCCACTGTTTTTTGTGTAGGAGCTCTTGGTTTTCTTAACCAAGGTGGCCCTGATGCTTATGTTAACAAGATTTCATAGTTAACATTGCTGGAGGTGGAGATTTGCTCTGGGGCTACCTGACCCCAGGTCGGCCCAGCCACAACTGCATAATCACAGACCTGGATCTCAGAGTGATGCTTTCTGGCCTCCCTGTAAATGTAACTTACTCTGAAGATCTGACCATGTCTATAAAGTGCCTCTAGGCCCCTTCAGGCGGACAGGCTAGAGGAGACATGCACTTACCTCCTTTGTTTCATTTTGGTTCTTCATGTTTTCTGCTATGAATTGAACACTATTGATTACATCTTCGACTTCAGGTGAGTGCTCCGAATTTTCTGTCACCCATTGTAAAGGCTGATGACTTAACCTTCTCTTGCTTGTGGCAAGCTGATGGGATTTATGGCAGTGGCAGCATTCTTTAAGAAGTTTGGGTTCTCTGTGATGCTCAAACTTGACTTTGGTGGGCCTACTGGAAATGCTTTTGGGGTTTTTCTCAGCACTTGTCTTCCTCGTCTTGTCCAGAGGCCTCCTCATCATCAGGATCTGGGGTAACAGCTGGAGAAAAACCGTCTTCACCCACTTGGGCATGGTGTGTGTTGTCGGCGTGCGATAGTGTATGTTTAACACAAACACAGTCACCACGATGGACAATGTGACAAAGATCATGGTGAACAGTAGGTACTCACCCACCAGTGGGATCACAAGAGATGTGGACGGGATGGTTTCTGTGATGACCAGCAAAAACACAGTCAGAGAAAGCAGGACTGAAATGCAAAGTGTCACTTTTTCACCACAGTCAGAAGGAAGGTAGAAGACCAACACAGTTAGAAATGAAATAAGGAGACAGGGAATAATCAGATTGATGGTGTAAAACATGGGCAACCTTCTAATGTAAAAAGAATAGGTTATATCTGTGTATATCTCTTCACAACAGTTGTATTTTATGTCATGCTTATAGCCCGAAGCATCAACAATTTCCCATTCACTGTTTTCCCAAAAATCATTCATATCCACTGTAGATCCAATGATTAGAAGATCAATTTTAGCTTTGTCATATGTCCAGGAACCAAATTTCAGGGAACAATTTTGATGATCGAAAGGGAAAAAAGTGATATCCATAGGACAGGAACTCTTAAAAATGGCTGGTGGAGTCCAGGTTATGGTGCCATCGTATTTAAGAAGAGCTTTTGTCTTGCCTTCAACTTGGAAGTCGCCCACAGCACTGCAAGGTAAATCGGACACCATTAGTAACATCTTTGCAATGGGTCAGTTTGCTCCAAAGGCAACTTTGGATAGAGACTACTGCTGTCAGGCTCCCGTACTTGTTATAGAGAACAATGTCAGGCTTCCAGATCTTATCTGCAGGAACACGAAGGGTCTCGATGCCACCAAACTCCACTGGGTCCCAGCGCAATTTATAATCATTCCAGATCTAAAGGAAATAGTCAGCTTTTAGAAAATTTCTTTACAAATTTCTTCCAATGTTAGTTTTGTTTTTTTTTTGAAAAATTAAGTTCTTAATTGAAGAGTACATAGGGTTCTATCAAAAGTTGGGAGATTAAATCCACAGGGAATAGGGGAATAGGTAGCTTTTAGTTGATTTTAGAAAACATAAATTATCTAATACATATTAGAGAATTATCTACTGAGTATTCATTCATTAGCTGGCCAATGTTATAAGCTCAACTTCCATGTTCCGTGTATTATATTCACATTGGAGTAGCAACTCATTTCTAATATTAAAAAGGTTGGTCAAGTGTGCAATGACATGTTTGTTACAAAATCTAAGTAATATGTTCAGACAAGAAGAAAGGCAAAATGATTTAACACAAAACCAGCTGGTGGGACTCAAACCCACATGTTCTCATGCTCAGCTAGTGACTTCTCCAGGCTTCGTTCAGCAGGATCAAAGAGTGGGCAAACCCCTGGCTCTGAAGCTCAAGTTACAGAGGAAAATATAAGATTTGAGAGCAGAAACCAGAAAGGACAGAGTTTCTATGTCTAAGAGGACTTTGTCACTAGGCTTCTGCACCTGTGAGGCTTGCACCAAGCCAGTTGTTACCAGAGCTGAATTTCAGGCTTTCGAGATGGATAATGTCTTATGCTCTATCATAAGCTGGAGATGGAAAGAAGGACTATTAGAAGATTTTATCCATTAGGCATTGTTAGGCTGACACACAGGTTACACAGGTCCAAGAGGACATGTGATGTAGACACATACATGACGTAGCCACAGATTGGTTTCCATGATCTGGTTTACTTCATCCTAGGAAGAAGAAACAACATTTTTAGCCTAAAATGTATTGCTAATAGAGGTGGATCTTAGAATAAGAATTATGACTAAAAAGAGCCAAATCTGAGTTATTTGTGCTAATAGAGGGAGACAAAGAGGACTGAAAAGGCAACTTATAAAAAGCAGCCAGGAATATATCCCATATCTGGTCTCAACCCTGTTGACTTTGAAAGAAAATGTGGTTTAAAAACTGTCTTTCAAATGTGTGATTTAAGCCTCACCACTTCTGTGAAGCCTTTCTGATCATTGCAGCCCATAAAGCTTTCTGAGTCCAGGGAACAAAAGACGTGAGAGAAGAGAGAGTGTGGGAAGGAGGGAGGTGAAGTACCACAGATGGCGTTAGATATCTGAACCTGGTTCACTGTTTGTATGATCTCTTCTCCATTTCCTGAAAAATTCCCTTCCTCAACAGTGCCACAGCCTTCTCCAGGCTCTGCGTCCTGAGCCCAATTGCCCCTTGAACTGTCAGCCTTAGCCCACCATGCAGTTTTCCTGCTGGAACCTGCCACCCCCCACAGCACCTCCCCACCCCCACCCAAGTCATTGCTGACTGCTTGTCATTCATTTCACAAATATTCATTGAGTACCCACTATGTGCTCTATAAATGTTGTGACTATAGCGATAAACAAGATGGAAAAGGAATCCTTACTTTCATGTGTCTTAGTTGCTAGTTGGGGAGACAGAAAATCAATAATGGATATATAATACAATGTAAGACAGTGATAGGTGCTATGAAGAAGAATAAAGAGGGATGGAGTGATGTGTGTGTGCAGACACACACATGCATGCACACACATGCACACACATCTGTTTGAGACAGGACAAACTAAGACGGCTTCTCTGAGGAAGTGGTTTAAGCAGGTACCTAAATGATCTGAAGAGAGACAAGGAGTTATCTAGAAAAAAAGTATTCCGGTCTTATTATATTCCAAGTATAATGTGTTCATAACGAGCTATCAACTCTTGGTGGGAAGGCTAATGAAGATACATCCAGGGCCTTCAGCAGCCTTACAACACAACAACTGAGGTTTATTGATGGTGACCCAGTAGGTTCCCCAAACTTACCAACCTTGCTTCCCATGGCACATCAAACTCAGCTACCAGCCTGCTCTAGTTCACTGATCTGCTCTGCAGTTCCCCAACTCCCCTTGGAAAATTCTACCTGGAGACCTTGTCAGGCTTCCTTCTACACCTGGGCTTGTGTCAAGTCATGGTCAAGCCTCAGGATTTTAGAAGGTCCATGAAAGGAGTTACATTCATGGTTTCTTATTGGTCAGGGAAAGCAAAGGAATGGACTATTCATTAGACAAGCAGTCCATGGTTTTACAATTACCCAAACCTAAGGTTTGTGCCATCTGCTCATAAGAGGGTCACCTTGTGACCTACAGATTTCAGCAGAGGTCATGTCAATAAATCTATTGGCTGTCAGTCAAAACACGGACTAGCTCTGCAGTCCACAAAAGTCTCAGATGTAACCTGTCATAAGCATCTTCCAAAGATTGGTCCTCTCTGTATATTAGTACAGAGAATTGAAATCAGACATTAATAGTGTCCTGACATTGTCCCTGTCTCCCCATTTACCCTTCCACGGGCTGGTGAAGCGTTATTGGTATGGACACCCTCAGAGCTGGTAGCCAACTTTATGAATCAGGACTTGGTCTGGCAAGTTCCTGTTCTACACCCAATTCCAGACCATGCCAATGGCTACGGGCACTGTCATCAGACAACCCAGCCAGAGGAGGCCAGGGACCCACAATACCACTCCACATTCCTGGGACCATTACCCTGTATCTCTTTCTTGAGAAAACAAATGAGATGATACCCCACCTGCATTGAAGAACTGAGTTACAATTTCAAATAAATTAGCTTCTAGAGCAGCAGAGACTCAAATCAGAAAGTCCAGGTGTGCTACACTTTACAAGGCCTTTTTCACTTCAGATATGCCAGGACATCAAAGGCACTGGACAGGAGCTTTGTCCTAGATCCCTGTGGCTGGAGTTGAGGAGAGGACAGTAGACATACTCCTACAGCAAAAGATCATCCTCCCAGAAAACTGTGTCCAAGGTCATTCTGTACAGCAGCAAACCCATTTACATTTGGAAATCTCTAGTGCTCTAAGGCCAGCTTGGGGACCGAGACAGAAACAGAGGACCTAGAACCTTCTAGAAGGGAATTAGTGATTGTGCATCTTGGCTCTACTGCATCACAGAGCCTTCCATCCCTAGGGCTCACCATGGCTCAGTGACAACAATGAATATGGTCTACAGGAACTTCTGGTGCCTCACGTGAGAAAAGATAGCTTTCAACACATCAATAATAATGGCTATATTAACACTTGACAAAATAAGCTGAAGCATTTCTTCTGAAGAAGAAAAAAAATCACTAAACACGAAAAAGGACATTACATAATGGTGAAAGGATTAGCCCACCAAGACGATATGATGATCTCAACTGTACACACATCAAACAACAGAGTCTCAAAATATATGAAATGAAAACTGATAGAGCTGAAAGAAGAAACAGACAAATCCCAAATTGTAGCAGAAGACTTCAATCCCATCCTCAGCAACCAATAGAACTACTAGACAGAAAATTAGCAAAAATATAGAAGATCTGAAAACATAATCAACCATAAGATTTAATTGACATATGTAGAACACTCTACTCAAAAGAACATTTTTTTTTTACATATCATGTGCCATAATTCAAACCTCAACAAACTTAAAATAACTGAAATCATGCAGTGTGTTTTCTGACCATGATGGAATCAAACTAAAAATAAATAGCAATTATTTCTCGGACTTTTGGTTAAGATCAAGTGTAGAAATCAATAGCAAAAGACATGGCAAAATCTCTAAACCCATGAAAACTAAATAATTCACTTTTAAATAATCCATGGATCAAAGAAGATGTCTAAAAAACTTTTAAAAAATACATAGAAATGAATAAAATGAAAATACAACTTAACAAAATATAAGAGAAATAACCAAAAACAATACTGAGGAGAAAATAGTATTAGCCCTGGCTGGTGTGGCTTAATGGATTGAGCGCTGAGAGGTTGCTTGTTCTATTCCCAGTCAGGACACATGCCTGGGTTGCAGGCCAGGTTCCCCAATTGGGGGTGTGCGAGAGGCAACTGATCAATGTATCTCTCACACATCAATGTTTCCCTCTCTTTCTTCACACAAAACAAACCCAAAGTAAGCATAATGAAGGGAAAAAAAAGATAAGAGCAGAAATCAATAAAATTGAAATGCAAAACAATAGAAAAAAATCAATGAAACCAAAAGGTAATTCTTTGCTGGGAAAACAACAAAATTAATAAACCTCTAGCAAGACTGACAAAAATAAAAAGAGAGAAGACACAAATCACCAATATCAGGAATAAAATAAGAGGTATCATTACACATCCTGTAGCCACTTTAAAGAATAGAGAATACACTACTCAACATAATCATACATTCTACAGCTTCAAAGAAAGGCCAGGTCCTCAAAAGCCATGGACAATGCCAATTCAAAGAAGATGAAATAGATAATCTGAAGAGCATATAGCTATCAAAAAAAAAAAAAAAGAATTTATGGTTGAAAATCTCTTGGAAATCTGCAGTCCCAGTGAGTTTCCCTGGAGAATTCTACCAAATAGGTAAAGAAGAATTAATATCTTGGACCACGAAGTAACACTGAGGGAAGAAACTACATGCTAAGGATGATGAAATAGAAAAATAGGAAAACCCTTGGCCAGTGTCACGATGTATGGTTTATGCTTTTAGCATCATAGGCCGTGTGACTGACATCCCCCGAAGCTGTGTAGTGCATGACCTGGGCAACTGAACGTGGTGGGGCAACCGCTGGCACCACGAAGCCACCTGGTGTTAATCTCCTGGGCTGTTAACCTTTAGATTTCTGTTATGTCAGAAAGAAATAAACTTATTTTGCTTAAGCTGTAGTTTTTTGTTCTCTGGTAGCAGCCAAATGCAAAGGTCAAAATCTCTATTCAGCAATTTCCCACCTACCATCTTCAGAATAATGTCCTGAAAGAGCTTATCAACCAGGGATTGGAAGTGATGCTGTACAATGAGGTGGTACCCCTCACAGACTATAGGTGAAACTCAGTTCAGTTTTCCATTCATAAGAACCCAATCCATACAAATGGCGTCCAGCCCAACAGGTGACCAGTACAAAGCTATTGGTGGTAGAGGCGGGCGGGTGGGCGGAAGTAGGGAAGAGGGATCAGAATTGGGACTAAATGAAAATTTATTAAAGGAATGAGTGGGTCCATCGACGTTAGAGTTACCACCTTTTTGTTTTTTTTTCTTTTATACAAGTAAATCCACATTTCCAAACTGGGCCAAAAGTTTGAGGACCAGGCTCAGCCCAGTCCACAGGGAAGTATGGATTAGAGAAACACATTGGGCCCTGACTTCACATCTGTGATTACAGCCTTTCCCCAGTTGTGCCCAGAGAGATACCGCTGTCCCACCCAGGGCGAAGTCTAGAAGGAAGGGGGGCTCCTTCCCCATCCACCGGCCTGGACAGATAGGATGGAAGCGGTTTCCTCCTTCTGTGTGCTGTTGACTCAGGAAGGCTTCCTAACTCCCCTCTCTGGAGATGCTTCAAACTTCCCTTACTTCCAGAGCCTACCTCTTCCTGGAATTTGGTCCAAATCCTGAGCCTCAAACCAGATCTACTCCTCCTGTGCCTTGGGGCCCAGAAATCTCCTCTCTGGTGGAGTACCAAGTCCTGGCCCAGCAAGTAGGGCATGAAGATTAGTCAAACAAAAGGACTCTAGTCTTATTTGCCCTCAAACATGGCAGCAATAAATTAAAATAAAAACTCCAAATTCCCATTTGTTTTTCCAGGTCTGGATGAAACCCTATAAGAAAGAAGATGCTTTTTTTTTTTTTTCTTATATAACATGGAAGTCTTAAAGCAATTTTTTTAATAGTAAAAATAGCATGAGCTTTGGAATTAAACAGGGTTGATTCAAATCCCAGGTCCACCACTTGTCATTGTGGGACCCTGGGGAAAGCTCCTTCACTGGGCTTCTGTCCTGTCAGCTGTAAAATGCAGCAGAAAGCCGCAAGGGCAGGCACAGCGTCTGGTGCACGGTGCGGGCGCAAGGACGTTAGCTCCCACTGTATTCTCCCTCCAACTTCCCCCTCACTGCTGTGTTTCATCAACTGGTTCTGAAAGCATCCATGGGGCAGTGTCTCCCTCCCAACGGGACAGCTTCGAAGGGCCAGCAGCCATGTAGATTTTTGTCCGTTCATGTTTTTTCAATTCCCAGTTACCATGTGCAATAAGAGGAACAATGTTTGGGGAATGCTCTGACCCCTTCAGAGTCAAGGCTCCTTGAGGCACATGCGGTGAATGTGAGGCACTTACCACATTGGCCAGTTGTGTGATGGCCACTTCAAAGTACACCGTGATGGGGTCAGAAACATTTTCCACAGGCCTGATGAACTGGTTATAATGGGAAAACAATTTGTGGAAGAGTCTCTCCTCAGATGCACAGCCTGCGCAGTCTGCATGGCCAAACAGAGGGGAAAATTAGAGAAGCAGAGAGGATGCTGGCAGGCGGTTTCTGGAGGCTTCCATCGCTGGGTGATATGGGCACTGGAGAGTCCAAGATAAAAACAGTAGTTTACATCTCAGGACTAGTGCGATATCAAATCAAATCATGTTAGTAAAAGCACTTTGAAAAATGTAAGGCACACAAAGGGAAAGAGATAGATACTAGCTCCAATTTTTGCTTATGTCACTGAATGTAACTCACAGTCTTACTGATCCAGGAATTAAAGGAATAGTCCTGCCCTTTCCTGTTAAAATACTGAGTGACCTGTTTCTTCACTTCACAAGGTGTTTAGCTGGAGAACCTTCACAAGCAAACTGAAATAACTAGGAACTTCATTAAGGTCTTAACAAGCCATACTCCTTTTTAAAATCAACTTTGAAATTCAATTGTTTTGGAGATTTTTGAGAGTGCAAAGTTTTTAAGGCAAAAATATGTAAGTTGTTTTTTAAAGAATTCAAAATTGGTTCTTAGATAATAGTATTTTCAGTTGCTTAATTTTCGACAGTAGTTTAATGCCTACCTCTCTGTATTTTTCTAAGAATGCATTAAAAGTAGCTTACGTGCCTTCATTTGGCATAATTCATTTCATTCATACCCCCCTAGACCCTCCCTTATAGAATTCAAATTTGACACCTGAAATATTATTGTACCAATTTCTCAAAGGGATTTACACCCTGAAAGAAAAAAAAATTAAAGAAACTGAAAAACTCACTAGATGAAAATGAGCAAAAGGACAGATGTTATATTATTAAATAAAAAAAGTTGTTTGACAAATGCATTTGGAAACACTGAAATTTCAATAGGAAAGAACAATTTTAAATGTAAAACAACATTCTTGCCATCAGAATTAATAATGGCAGAAACATTTCTACATAAAACAGACAATTAAAAAACCCCCTCCATTACCCATCTCGCCACCCCAGACACTTTTTTCCCTTTGAGACACTTTAGAGAAACCCTCCGTGAGTTCTGAAGAGCAGGTCCCCTGTAAAGCTGACCGTGGTTTTGTCCAGGCAGACAGCAGCTGTCCGTATCTAAGTCTTAACTTTTAATATGAATGATCTTACACTCAGGGCACATTTCAGCAGAGTAACATGACATGTTCCCCCAAACAAAGATGATTGCCTACAAAACGGAAGGGTTCATACTTTCAGTCATAGTATCAGTTAACAAATCAGTTTGGAAAAAAAATATTAAATACAAATAGAAGTAAATAAGTTGAATCCATCCATGGCAGAGGTGGATAGAAAACTGCATCATTATTATTACTGTATTTTAATTGGGAAAATAAAATAAAAGAGGGTTCGCAATGTTTTATCCTGCTCTGCATCCCACCTCCCCAAATCCCATCTGACATGTTAAGCCTACCCAATAAAAAATAGATTAACGGTTGCAACAATAGTAATTCCTGTGCAGACACTCTACATACTTACCTTTCGAACACCTCATCTCTCTGCTCAGTCAAACACAACTAGAAAAGAAGGGTAAATAAATGTAACTCAAAAGGGATTGTGAGATAAAGCAGAAACAAAACCTACCTTTAAAGAAAGGTATCAATATACACGACCAGAGGCACAAACCAAAGTGAAGGCATCCCTGACCTTTGCTGGTCAGCATGATTAAAACGCACTCTGGTTTCTTTTTCGAGCCAAAGGGCTGTGGGAAACAAAGAGCTATCAGACAGCCACACGCGTCGGACCTTTAAATCTTCAGAGTCCCACTGCCATCCACGCGTGTCTTCTGCAAAGTAAAAAACAACAAGCGTAACACAGTGGTTCCCAATCTCAGAGACTGAGGCCAATGAAAAGGAGAAATAGAAAGGACTCAGTCTGCTGTCAGATGAGTCATCACATTTCCTGTCATCCTAGATCTCTTTTCATGCAAGAACAGTGAAGAAAAGCAGTGAGGGGGCACCAGGCAGGCAGGACTGAGGGAGCTCCAGGCAGACAGGACTGAGGGAGGACAGGAAGCTTTGCCCTGGTTCAGTCCATCTTTCTGTAGTTCAGTCTCAGCCTGCATCTTTAGGTGAATAAATGCACATTTGCTGAGCTCCAGCTACAGGCAAAGTGTATGCTGGGCCCCAAAGAGTGTATTCTGATTCACTGAGTTCTCTAGTTAATCAAGGGTAACCATGTTATTAGAAAACTTTCTAAAATATGAGTCACCGTTTCTCTCTTAATAAGAGTGGCTTATAGAATTAGTTTGGTCTTGTCTGACTACAGGGAGTGTAGTTTAGTGAGCACTGTCCAGGATCCAGGATGAATGACTAGATGTCTGAGAACGAGAGGAATGATACTGAACACAGGATGCTACCTGGATAGTTCTTTGTTTGTTTAAACATCAATATATAATAACATATAATATAATGTTATTCAGCTATTTGTAAGAAGGAAATCCTGCTATTTGAGAAAATATGGGTGAACATTATACTATAGAGAACATTAAATATATGAACATTAAATATAGAGAACATTATACTCAGTGAAATAAAGGAGACAGAGAAAGACAAATACTGTATGGTCTCATTTTTATGTAGAATCTTAAAACATCAAACTCATAGCAGCAGAGAGTGGTTGCTTGGAGCCGGGGAATGGGGATAATAGGGAGATGTTGGTCAAAGGGTATAAACTTTCAGTTATCAGGTGAATAAGTTCTGGTGATCTCATATACAGTATGATAACTACTGTATATTTGAAATTTGCTAAGAGAGTAGATCTTAAGTGTTTTCACCACATACACAGAGAGATGATAACTAAGTGAGGTAATAGATATGTTAATTGGCCACAGTGTACATGTATATCAAATCATCACATTACACACCTTAAATATATACAATTTTATTTGTCAATTACACCTCAGTAAAGCTAGGTAAAGACAGAAGAGTTAGCCCTGAAGATGATCCTCAGGACCTTCCCATCCAAACAATCTACGTCATCACAACTATAGCATCCTTTACCATTGTACAGAATTCAAACTAATGACTCCCCTCAAAGTTCTGTTAGCTTCATGTCTCTTGAGGAAACAAAAAAGAACTAACATTTATATAGCAGCACATTTAGATCAGGCACTGGGCTAGGTGCTTCAGCTATGTTATCTTAAGATGTTACTCGAGTTCTCTTAGCTGATGAGCTTTTGTCCTTGGCTGAAGTGTCCTGGGGAGTTTTGAGAGAACCTAAGGTGATAAAGCAGAAAATTTTGGACAACACTTTATCATAATGGTTAAAATGCCACTTCAAACCCTAAAATGGGGCAATGTCTCACTAGTTTTTAGAGTAAAACCCCAATCAAGTTGGCCATTTTCCAAATCACCAACACCACCCTCAACTGTTTCTATTGCTTGGGCTATAGTTGATTTGTTCTTTAAATTTTCTAATAGATACACACTACCATCTTTCAAGAAAAATGTTGTTTCATGTCTTTCTCTATAGCTATTACTTGTCAGCTTACAGAATGACTCTAGAGGAGGTATCGTCTGGAATGTGCCCAAAATCAGCCCTTATTTTTGTCAAGGTGAGAAACATCCATACCTGTAAGAATTTTTTATGAATTTATTTGAGTCAAACTGACAACGATTGCCAGGAAGCAAAACCTCACAGGTGGAGGAAATGCTCCAGAGAATGGCAGTTCTGCACCCCGCGTTACACATTACAGTCAAAAGAGGGGACGTAAGTGAGTGACATGAAATCAATTGGTGATAAATGAGGGTGGCAGGAGAAAGCAAAGCAAGGAAACTTTTAGGATTAGATAAAAAGTAGAATGATAGGCGCATACTTCTTTTATATAGGTGGGTACAGAATAGTTAACAGTCAACAATTAACTCAATAACCATGAGGGGAGTTGTGGTCTTTGCTCTGGTGCAGTATCTGTGCTTTGAGGGGTGTGAAAAAAAGGAAATTACTTTGACATTCCAAAGGCACATTATTGCAGATATAAAAAAGAAAATAGACTTAATTAAGGTAAAGAATGACTTTCGTCAGGGAAGATTCTAGACTAGGATATGACTACTTGCCAGATACTGCTTTTAGTTATTAAGTTTTAATTTCAGACCGTCCTTTGTGATTACTTTTGGTCTCTGAGTTAATAAGGCCACAGGCTTCCTTGGAGCTCATCAGGGTTAGTATGTGGCCTCGTTTCACGTACGCTTTCTTCTAGGAACATGCTAACTCTGTCCTGGAGAGCACGGTGCAGAGCAGGTGGACATGTGGCTTTCATGAGTGAAGGTCACAGGGGAGCTTCACCGCAGATGAAGGATGCAGAAGAAAGAATATGGACTTTAGAATCAGACAGACCTGGATTTGAATTCTGGTCCTGATATTCACTTGGGGGACATTGGGCAAGTTACTTAAGCTCCCTCTGCTCTGTTCTCATCAGGGAAATGTGATTAAATTCGGTAATATAAATGATTTAATCTCTCCCTATGCACTTTTCACTCGCTCCCTTACTACTGTGAACAGGTAACACACGTAACTCTCAGGGCCTGAACTGGTTGGGAGCATATATCTTAAATGCTAGTAAAGGAAATACATTCTCCCATTCAATTAAAACATTTGAACTATCCCCTTATCATCAGAAAGAATGCTTGAGTTTCATAATTCAATTATGGGTTTATATCCTGCTTTAAACCCTTTTTGAAAATTGCAGAGATAGAAGTTAAAACCAAATATACAGAATTAAGACATTTTGGGTTCCCCTCCCCGCCCCGATATTGCTGGATAGTATCACGGTCATATTCTAGTGATTAGTTTTTTAGTGTATTGTTGAACCAGCAGAAATTTAGTGCTACTTTTGGTTTATGGAAGTGGGAAGGTTGAAGGAAGATCCCTCCCCTCCTCTACCCCACCTCCACCTCTCACCCCATGCCTTTGGCAGTCCCTCATTCCTCTCGCCAGTTCCAAAAGGATCTTAGATTTTTTCCAAGGCCATAAATCTGATAAAAAACATGGATCTTATGCCTCTCCCCCATACCCATATGCATATCAAACACAACTTGACCTATAATTCCTGGGCATTCCCAGACCCGTGGAAAGCAACCTTGGGTGGAAAGGAACTGCACCTGGTTTCAGAGTTTTCCCAATATCTGCGCCCCCCTCCCTCCCCCCCGCCCCCCGCCCCCCGCCGTCAACCCACATCATCCCATTATTTTTAGAATAATGTATGTAAAAGACCTAGCGGGTCAGGAAATTGATAGGCTTCAGAGAGTGAGTGTTGGGTTCTTTTCTTGTTTTTATTCATAGCGGCTAACTTCAATTTGGAGGCTTTCTAAGGAAAAAATAGTGATGCTGTTTGATTTGAAACTTCTGTCATTAATATTACTTCAAGCTCCCCACTGCCTTCCCCACCCCTTGCTCAATTAAATCCATGGCCTTGTTCTGCTCTAAAAATAAGGGAGACTATTTGCTGAGGTTATATAAAATCATTGGTATTTGAAGTTTGAGGGGTTTTGGCATAAAAACTGCATGAATGAACATTTTGTTGACCTTTTTCCAACTGTCAGTTCTCTTTAAACTCAAATGAGGATACTCTTTAGTTGTCTCTAAAGAAATATAAAGGAAATAACCCTTTAAACATGTATTATTTATAAATCCACTGCAGCAAAAACATCATCAATAATTTAATGACCCCATATGCTTGGTTGGTTGTTTTTAAGCCACTGTCATTACAACTCTCACATGTTCAATATCCTTAGTCAGTCGTATTTCACACCTACCCTATTTGACATTTCCCACGCAGGAAAAACATAACAGCAGTAGGGTAAATATTCAAATTAAATGCCAATTTTACACCACAATGAAACCTTTAATCAATAGCTTATGAGAGGCTACAATTAACCTATAATTCCAACACTTTGTCCACCTAAATTTTAAGAAACAGGGAAAGCCTCAGAACCTGGGGCGGGGTAAAGTAGTAAAAGACAGTCAACACTGAATAATAACTACAATTATCTCAGCACTGCCTAACCTTAACCCTAACTCTAACCATGACGAGCTCCTTCCATTCTTTTAATCCTGTCAGCAACCCCAGGAAGTGAGACTCAATTTCATTGACACTCAGGTAGACTTAGTAACTTGCTCTAAGATTCAGATCCATCACAGCTATTAAACAGCTGAGCTAGGTCTGTCTGAATCTAAAGTCAATGGTTTAGCCTTAAAGCTATATTCAAGTGCTTTTAGAGCCATGAATAATTTATAAGTTCAATACATTTTTAGAGGGTTGTTATTGAAGTGGGCCACGGTAAGCACTAACTTTGTTATTCGCCATGGATCCCTCACAGGAGCTGAGGAAACCAAGACTAATTTGTAAAGGGAGTTGAAATGGTGGATGGACGTAATGCCAGGCAGAAGCGAAAACCTTGGTTCCTGATGGCTCCTGATTAGTAGTTCTCAAACGATAGTGTGCACACAAATCAAGGATGGGAGTCAGCCTTAAAAGATCAGATTCCAGGCCGCATCCTCAGAAATTCTGATTCATTAGGTCTGGGTCAGACCTGGAAAACTGAATTTTTAAAAAGTTCCTGAGGAGGTCCTGATACAGAGGGTCAGCACAGAGCATTGGAGGAGGACTCCTCCGAGGGGCTGCAGGGAGGCCTCCACATGGCCGTTTGCGGGGTGCTTCTGGGA